TTATTGCAAATTTGCCCTCGCTCGGAGGGACCGGAAGAATAATACAGATTTAACTAACCTATGAGCTAATTAAATATTACAGACAATTAACTAGTTAAGCCAATTAACTAAGCTAATAAAGCAGTAAAAGGCCTCGAAAGAGGGTCCAATGTATGCGTGCTCGGGTTTGCTCGGAAATCCATCGCCAGGCACAAGTTGCCTCTGTTTCCCTTGCTCTGCTCCTCTAAAAATTGCACAAGTCCCAAGGTATGCTCCATGGACACTGTGGATCACCACTGACCAAGTAGAAACCCCACCGACCATGTCCGGATGGTCATCGACCATTTGTTGAGCTCTCGGCCATCAATAATTAGTCGGTCGGCAGTATAGAAGGCCAGCCGGCCAAAGCTTCCTGCAGCAACCTGTTTTGACAGCAGCAGAGGGCAAAACATGGCATGGCAATGTATTTCAAGCAATGTTTGCACTAACCACACTCTTTATCATGTTTATGACTCAAAGAAGGATGGTCCTCGATTCTCGGACCATCAGTTGTGCATTTCAATGCGTGATGGCCGAAGAAACCAAGTGTGCAATTTCAATGTCGAATAAAATGCACTTAAACAAACAAATGGCCCAACCCCTATCATACTCAATTCAAGAGGCAAAGCATGCATGCCAATGCCATGCATTTTAGGCATGTGAGCTAGTATGCAACATGAGTATGCAAATGAAGATGCAAGGATGCAACTAACAAGCATGCAAAGTTTAATGTCAACATGCACACATGCAAGGCATATAACATGTTAGACAACTTAGCAAGAAATGCATGCCAAATGCAACACCATTCAAGCATGCAACAAAATGTCCTGAATCAAGTATCTAAACATGTAATCATGCATGCAAACATGGTTCATCACTTAGGCATAAAGAAGCAACTTCTAAGCACACTTAAAAGAGGCTAAACATGGGCATATGGCAAGCAATATAAGCTCTGAAAATCATGAAAAAGGGGTGCCAAACCAACTAATCAAAACAAGCAAAGCATGCATAAAAGCTTGGAATTAGCCCAATGACTTAAACCATGATCATGTGACACATGAAACAAATGATCAAAGTGAATCAAAACAGTCTCAAATCATGCAAAAGTAGGCCCCAAAAACCGCTTAGATGGCATCTAAATGATCTAATCCTAGAGGCATACACAATAGCATAAACATAGAGCATGAAACACCAAACCTCTAACACATTAAAAGAGCATCAAATGCAAGCATATAAGCACACCACAAGGACTGAAATGGCATGGCAAGTGGTTCCAAACCACTGAAATGATGCAAGGATGGCATGCTAGAGGGGTCACTGCTTAAGGCATACAAGAGAGGTTACATGGTAGCTATACAAAACAAGGCATGAACAACCCAAATGACAAAAAACAGACCTTTAGCATGCTAAAACAAGCATAAAAGCTCCACAAAGCTAAGCCAAAAACATGCTAGAAACAAGGCTCAAAGCACAAGGCATGTTAAGGCAATTCATGGCATTACAAGACATGTATGCTAAGCAAGCATGATGTGTCTAAACCAAGTAAAAACAGAGGTAAAGCATGGCAAAATACTACCAAATACCTACTGAAACATGGCCAACATGAGTTCAAAAATGGTGCTCACACATGAGGCTTAAATGGCACATTTTGAAGACAACAAGGAAAGGGGGTGGCCCTCTCCTTCTTAGGACCTTAAACCACCATCCTCACCACTGAAATCCCTCAAGATTTCAGTGGTGAGGAGGCCCAAACGAAGTGGTCCCGGAGCTCACCAAAATAGCACAAAAATGGGGCCAAACAAGCCCTAAGAGGGGTCGAACAACCCCAAACAACAAAACACCCTTGAACAACTATTTTAAGCAAGTAAAAACAAGACTTTAATTACTCATGTACAAAGTCTAAAAATAGTTGCAAGATAGGCAAAAAAGCTATGCAAAAATGGCGAATAAAGACAAGAACACTCACCCTTGAAGAACACTTCCAAGATCACAAGGTCAGACCTCTTCTTGGATCAAAACCAGCTCAAAAAGTCCAAGATCAACCCTCTAAAGCCTCAGCAATTAAGGGAAGGTGTAATGGTAGGTGTTTATGTGCAAAACTATGAACAAACACACACTTATACACAATAAGAGGAAAGTATAGAGATAGAATAGGCACACTTCTAACCCTAAAAAGAGCCAGACCTCTGGAGCTTCTTTCTAACCCTAGAAAAGGGAGGAGAGGCTTCCTCTTTATAGAAGCTCACTCTTGCAAAGCTTCTCAAGTAAGCTAGTCAAGAGGGAGATCCCTCCATACACGTGTATGGAGGAGAGCAAAGTGGGTGCCAGCTATCACAGCTGGCACAAAATATCTGCCAAAAGCAGATGCACAGTAGTCGGTCGGCCAAAAATGCAATTTGACCAAAATAGATGGCCGGTCGACCATTTAGAGTGCCGGTCGGCCAAACATTTGGCCGATGGCAACAAAACACGGCTGGTGGCCTCAAGCCACGGCCGGTGGAGTGTGGGGATGGACAACAAGGCATTCCCTGCCCTCCAAAGCAAAAACACAAGTGTTTGGTGCAAAACTAAACACAAAACAGTCGAACCGAGAGATCCTGAGGCAAGACGCGTAGCCAAGACCTCCGGGAACTCAAGACAAACAAAAACAAGGATGATCACCGAGTGTTCAAACGGTGACGTCCAAGTTGAGGACGGTCAAAAATGGGGTGTCTACAGTTGCCCCTCTTTGACAGAACTCGAAAGTCATAACAATGACGGGAGTGATTGTCAAAGGCCCAGAGACGACCCATTTTTGACAAGGCCGAAGACTTAGACAAACATGCAAGACAGACAAGATATGCGCCCGAAGGCAGGGTAGAATGCAACTGACAATGCAAGAAGCCGAACATACTTATGATCATGCAAAAGAAAGCTGTAACGAAGCATAACATGCAACAGTTTTTAAGCTAGCATACAACAATCCAACTACACTACAATGCGAAAGGATGTAGAGAATTATGCAATTCTCGATACGTCTCACTCGGAGAATACAAACCTGTGCGGTTCGTCTAGTGCACCAGCTTCAAATGAAACCGTACATACAATATCGTGCCTGAAAAAGAACGAAAACTCAACAGGAACAACATTGTTAGCATCATGCATAACATGCAAAATGAATGCAAAATGATATGTGATATATACAAAACTATGTATACAATGCAAGTGAGAATGCATGTAATTGAATCATGATCAAACAATGAGCAGGTCAAAATCACACAAATGTCAAAAGGATGATGGAGATACAAAGTCCGTCTACCATAGAAAAGGTGCGCAACCCTCAAACCAACATACCAGCGTGGAATAGGCGCGTACACATGCAGAACTATGAGTGATGTAGACGGACACAAGAACAGGTTAATTGGGTGGAATGACATAAGTGGGGAAGTGACCCGTTGAGGAAAAGACCAATGATCCTAATGCTGGATGCAAAAATTACACTACAATGTAATATATACAATGGATATGGCGTGCGGGCCAAACCAAATCTTGCCTAGGAAGGCATGTACACATACAAGCCATGTCTAAACACAGAAAAGGTGCCGCAACCCTCAAACAACATACCAACGTGGAATAGGCGCGTACACATGCAGAACTGTGATTCAACGCGGAAAAAGTATGGACACATACCAGACCAAGCTCAACATAGAAAAGGCGCAAGCCATAGATGGATGTGATGCAGTGATGCATGCAAGCTACAATGCAATATATACAATATGCACTAGATGGAATGGATGTACAATGCATATTATACAATGAATGCTATGTACAATGCGATCTGCCGGGGAGAATGCAATGGATGCAAATATAGTATTCACAAGCGGATAAGGCACGCGACCAAACCTTGTTTGCTTAGGAAAGGCATGCACACAACAAAACCAACGTTTAACACAGAAACGGTGCCGCAACCCTCAAACCAACATATCAGCGTGGAATAGGCGCGTACCACAAAAGTCTCAGATCTGTGTTTAAACGCGAAAGTTACGGCACTACCAGACCAAGCTTAACATGGAAAGGCGCAAGCCATAGATGGATGTGATGCAGTGGATGCATGCAAGCTACAATGCAATATATACAATATGCACTAGATGGAATGGATGTACAATGCATTATATACAATGAATGCTATGTACAATGCGATCTGCCGGGGAGAATGCAATGGATGCAAATATAGTATTCACAGCGGATAAGGCACGCGACCAAACCTTGTTTTGCTTAGGAAAGGCATGCACACATACAAACCAACGTTTAACACAGAAACGGTGCTGCAACCATCAAACCAACATACCAGCGTGGAATAGGCGCGTACACAAAAGTCTCAGATCTGTGTTTCAACGCGAAAAGTACGGGCATATACCAGACCAAGCTCAACCTGGAAAGGCGCAAGCCGTAGGTGGTGGTGATGCAGTGAATGCATGCAAGCTACAATGCAATATTTACAATATGCAATGGATGGAATATATACAGTGGATGCATGACATATGCATTATATACAATGATGCATGACATATGCATTATATACAATGATGCATGGCATATGCAATATTTACAATTGAATGCATGGCACATGCAATATATACAATGATGTATGACATATGCAATATATACAATAAAATGCATGACATATGCAATATTTATGATGAAATGCATGAAAAATGCATAATAATGCATGCTATTTACAGTGCATGACATATGCATATATTTTTTTATTGTTTGGTTTTGTTTTTGTTTTTGTTTTTGAAATGCAAATGATGCATGTTGTCTGGAATGCGTGACAACGCAAGTTGTTTGAAATGCATGGCAATGCATGTGAGGAAGATACATAACAACGCATGGAACTTGTGGGCTAGGATAGTGGATGTTAATATATTAAAATGGGTTGGTATAGTGCAAATGTGTTGGTAATATATTAAAATAAAATAAGTATAGTGCAAGGGTGTGTGTTATATTAAAATAAAATAAAAGAAATCCAGTGGGGGGTGTCGGAACCTGCTTGACCGAAAGCAGTCTGTGAGATGCGAAGAACTGGTCAGCAGAGATATACTCCCGATTGAGCTTAGCACAAAAATTGGACTCAGCGAGACAAGCCCTAATTTTCCCAAATTGTCCGAATTGGTGATGTGATTTCTGAGCCAGGCCGAGAATTCGCCGAGGCGGTACTCGCGGAAAGCACGGCCGTCGACAGAGTAAGAGCCGTCGGGACGAGTGACGACGAAGGCGAGGACGAGGATGATGAGGAGGGCCCCGATGAGAACCACCATACAGATGAGGTAGAAGGCGAGGAGGCATTCTTTGTTCCAGTAGGAGCCTACGAAGCCGGTGAGGGAGACTAGAAGGATGAAGATGCCGAGGAAGACGAGTGGCCATCGGATCCAGTGGATGCACTCGTTGTCTGGCTTGGATGCGAGCCAGACTCCCGAGGCGATTATTGGGATGGAGGAGAGGAAGGCTATGAAGTTCAGGACTGAGGTTATGTTGTTGCTCACTGCCATGGTTATGGTGGTTTAGAGAGAGAAAGTGCAGAGTGGTGAGAGATAGGGGTTTGCTTGTCAGGGAAGGTGAAGAGTTCAGCTATGGAATTTGTGGCAGCGGAGTGAAGGTATGTGTAGAGGTCCGGCGGACGGCCAAGGCGAGACTGCCGCCCGCCGGTGAAGCAGAATGACTAGATTGTTAATCTAGCTCTGATACCATGTAAAATAAATTGATGTATATTATTGATTGATTTATATTGTTATGTATTACAACTCCTATATATAGAAGAGAAGGTGGTAGTAGGTGTAGGTGAAGTGGAGGTGGTAGGTGGAGTGGGTGGTAGTGGAAGTGGTAGGTGGAGTGGGTGGTAGTGGTGATTTACTATTTACAATTTACATTAACAAAAACCATCTGCACCGTTAGATTAGGTATGTGTCTTATGATCCAACGGTGAATGTATTAAATGAAGAAGAAGAGTACAATGCCAGAGCAGAACTAGCCAGAAGCAGTGAAAAAAACAAAACAAAAAAACTCACAGCACTGAGGCACACTGCACCAAATCAGATGTTGGAAAGACACAACAACACAAAAAATACTCATCAAAGCAAAACGCAAGAAAACAGAAATTACTCACTCCCTTAATCAATTTTAGCGTTTCTTACCATCAATGTAATGCACAAACACATTAGAACTTTGATTTTCCCTCATTAGCTTTAACCCAACTAAATGTTCTGAACTCTATGAAGTATGGATTTTTTTGACAAATATATAATGCCCGTATTAGATATATATTGAGTACATGAAACAAATACTTAAATTTATTTTCTATTTTTTTTTTTTTTTGTTAAAAGACTAAATTTTTATAAAATTTAAAAAAATATAAATTTAAACAAAATATCATATTAAATTTTATAATTATTTTATTTTTTCTCTTATAAATATCACATCTAATCACAAAAAAATTTAACTATCTTTCTAAACACTAAAATTTTTTTTCGTAATAATATTATGAAACTAAAAAAAAATATACGTAAAAACCCGCGGCTCAAACACCCACTATAAAAGCTTGGTTTCGGTGCGGAGACTACGCAGTAGACTTTGGCAATGAAGTGTTCTCCCAAATCCTGTGGAGAGGCTGCAGACAACATGGAAGAAGAGAAATCATGCCATCCTATCCCTCCTCTTCACAATGCCAACTCTGGTACCTCTCTCTCTATCTCTCTCTCTCTCTCTCTCTCTCTCTCTCTCCATATACATATATATAGTGTTGTATCTGTGTCTGGAGATTGAGTTCTATACGGATGATCCGTAAAAACCATATTTTACAGGCCACCAATCAGTGGTTGAGCCAAGAAAATGGACAAAAGCCCCATTTTGTTGTCATCGTCTCCTCTCCTGCATTCCTTTCCTCTGAACGTTGTTGTGCCTTCCTCAAACGATTAGGGTGTTAGGATCAAACACACCCAGAAAAATATCTCACACACACAGAGAACACAATATTTACGTGGTTCGGCCCAATGCCTACATCCACGGACAGAAAAGAGAAGTGATGACGGACACGTGGCCTTCGGCACCGAGTCAGGGTTTCCTAAATTCCCCCATTTTAAAATATTTAGGTGGCGACTCTGTATCTGGCAAAGCAGTCCATGTTTGGCACTTCTTTTCAAAAAATCTGTTTCTCAAAACGATTTGCCGGATTTGGACTCTTTGGTTCAGATTTAGAACCGTGATACAAATCGAGTCCGAACTGTAGTAGCGAGGTCCCCCTCCGCGGGCGCGTCTACAGGATGACATGCACTGCTCAGTCGCAATTTGGTCCCCAATGCCTTTTGCAAGCTTTGCCAAAATCTCGATGTAAACTTTGGATCCCTATTAAAGACAATGAACATAGGAACTCCGTGCAATCTCACGATTTCATTAATATAAATTGTAGCCACCTTATCCTCTTTATAAAATGTCTTCACAGGTAAGAAATGAGCAGGTTTTGTTAAACGATCAATAATAACCCAAATTGAATCCATATCTCTAATGGAGCGAGGTGGTCCAAAGATAAAATCCATAGTTATGTGCTCTCATTTCCACTCCAAGATTAGTAAGGGTTAGAGCAATCCTACGGGTCGTTGGTGCTCGGCTGTAACTTGTTGGCATTATAAGCATTCAGACACAAACTCAGCAATATCCTTTTTCATTCCCCATCACCAAAAATTGAGCTTCAAGTCTTGATAATGTCACGACCCAAACCCGCCCCTATGGGTTTAGCACCGTAATCGGCCAGTAATCCGAGATTACTGAAGGCCTGCTTAACAGTAAAACAGTAACACAGAGTACAGGGGCTGGCGGAAGCCAAAACAGTAATTAAAAGATGTCCAATGAGCTGTGACAGTCTGTATGCAAAAGACTTTTCATACATATCCACATAACCAGTACATATACATTCATATACAATCATACAAGTTAGGGACCAAGTCCCTACCATAACAGTACAGTAACAGTCTAAACAGTCTATTCAAATAGATACAGAAAGGGGGAATCTAAAACACCCTGAAGCAGCCTTAGCTCGGCAGCACTTGGAACCTCAAGGTGAGGCACGATGGTTGGCTTGACAAAACAAGAGCTAATCCGACGCTCCTAACTCCAATCCGGTGCCTGAACACCTACATATATATATAAACAGTAAGCTAAAGCCCAGTGAATAACATGCGTAAAGAGGTTAGGAATGAATGTTCTTTCAGTATTGAAAGCAGTCATTTATCAGTATATCAGTCATTCAGTTTGTGGCTTATAATTCATGCCGTAACAGTCATTCAAAAACTATAATAGTCATATGTGGTATATCCAATAGCAAAACAGTACAGTAGGTCTTAACAGACCGAGCAGTCAATGAAGGCCATCATATCAGTAAACAGTAGTGGTTCCAAATGTGGGAACTGACAGAGATCTCTGTAACAATAGCAGTAACAGTTCAGTAACAGTAAATTGTTATGGATGCCATGAATACAGTTCACAAATAGGACAAACATTCATTCAGTAAACAGTGTCATTTCATAAAGCAGTACAATCATTTGTTCAGAAAATAATCTCAATTGAACATATGTTTACAACATTGTTACTCACAGAGCACTGGGCAATAAGCAGCTAGAGCGTCCTCAGATGCCAACCCTACACAATTACAGAATGAACACACACTAAGCTACACAGTTGGGAAATAATAACTTAATCCCTAATTTGCCTCGGTGTGGTTCTACATCAATATCCTCATTAAGATGCCTTAAACTAGGCCTAGGAATTCCTAGGATGGAATGAGGATGCAAAGATGCACTTTAAAACACTTTTCAGAATTTTTAGAAAACAGGGGCCTCGCTCGAGCGTGGCTTTCTACGCTCGAGCGGACATGCAGACAAAGGAGCTCCGCTCGAGCGTGACTTCCGTTGCTCGAGCGGACTGTAAGCTACAGTAAAAGTACTGGATGCACAAAAATCACGCTCGACAGGCGCTCGATCCTCGCTCGAGCGTAAGACACAAGTCCTCGCTCGAGCGTGAACTCTCTCGCTCGAGCGGACTATAAACGCATGCAAAGTACTGGATACACGCATTTCACGCTCGAGCGCCACTTTCCTCGCTCGAGCAGACTTCATGTATTCAAAGTGTACGCTCGAGCGTGGAGTTCCTCGCTCGAGCGTGGGTCCAAAATCTGGAAATTCTAAATTTGAACCTCAAGCTCAAAACTCAATTTTAAATCATCAAATTCGATCCTTTTGGGCCAATTTTCTAGAAAACACTTGTAAATTCATAGTATGACATGTTTCAAAAATCAATTTGAGAAATAAAAGCCCAAAGGTAGTTCAATTAAACACAATTTTCAAACAAAACTTCAAGAACATGAAGTGTATGCAACATGCAAGAATTTAAACAACTTTAAAGCTTTAAATACTTGTTCAAAAGAGTCAATTTCCTCAAGAACATGATGAATTCATGAACTATACTCAAGATATAGACATGCATGCAGTAATTTCCATGAAAACAACTCTATACTTCAAGAGATGCACATTCATGCATGATTCAAGCTTCAATTCAACATTTTTAGACCAAAACTTGGCTTAGATCACTAAACTCCCATGAATCATGCAAGACACAACTTCAATTCACAAATGAGATGATGAAATTTCTACTTTATGTCTTGAATTCAAGGTAAATAAGCTCAAATATACAATTCTCTTCCAAATTCTTCAAGTCTCCAAGCTAAATTCCTAGATAAACTCAATTTCTCCTATCTCTCTCTCTCTCTCTAGTCGGCTAGCTCAAGAAATGGGCTGATGAAGTGTTGAAATGTTAGCATATAGAGATCAAATAAAGGCTCATGAAAGTCCACTAAGTGGCATTCTCGTAAATAAGTCCAACTCTTGTAAATTAGCATTATTTAATCCAATTTAAACATACCAAATCACATTTCAACTAAATATATCATAAAATTACATAAATTCCAATTAGCATAAAACACTAATCAATTTCAAATTCGGCCGCCGATAAGGCCTTCAATTTGCAGTTTGAAACTTAAAACACGAACAGATCATTTAGCAGTCAAACAGATAGAAATGCATTTAACTAACACACTCAATCAATCAGTTCAGATTTTCAGTCAATCAGTCAATTAACATGCTTAATCATAGATTAGCACTAATCAATGGTGTTATCAATAAACAGGAGTGAGGGTTGTCACAGTCTCCCCTCCTTATAAAGAGCTTTGTCCTCCAAACTCGAGTTGCCTTCGTTCTGGAAGAAAACAGGATTCAGTGGGAACAGTTCAGGATATCTCTTGATCATGTCATCTTTCCTCTCCCAAGTGGCATACACGCCACCGTGGTTTTGCCAGTCAACTTTCACTAACGGAATTTCTTTGTTCCTTAACTTCTTGATCCGTCGGTTTACAATCTGAATAGGCCGTTCTTCGTAAGTGTAGTCATCACTTAGCACTACACAGGTAGGCTCAATCACATGGAAGGGATCCCGAAGGTATTCCCTCAACATTGAAATGTGGAACACGTTATGCATATGCTCCATTTTAGGAGGAAGCGCTACTTGATACGCCACCAGATTAATTTTCTCAATAACCTCATACGGCCCGACATATCTCGGTGCTGACTTGCCTTTGACTACAAAATGAGTCTGGCCCTTCATCGGTGTCACTTTTACAAAAACATGATCA